TAGAAAGTGACCACTTTTTATAAGCTGCGTAAAAAGCCTTCAGGGAACAGAAGCCACATAGAGCAACCTGAAGCAGCTTACACTGAGCCCGGCCCCCTGGCAAGGGGTGGTGCAACTCTGCCCAGGAAAAGACACCTGAGAATCAGTGCAACAGGCCCCTCCTCAAGAAGACCAACAGGAACATCAGGTGAATACCAAGTTTATGGATCAGACAGAACTGAAAAACTACACTAGGGGAAAATAGTGTATGGAATTTGAGGGTTTTTTTCTAAGTCTTTAGTCTTTCAGTTAAAATTGTTTTCTCTTTTCTTTTTATTCCTTGTCAACTAGTTTCTTATTTTATCAACTCTTTGTTTTTTGTTTTGTTTTGTTTTTAAAGACTTTATTTATTTATTTGAGAGGGAGAGAGAGAGAGAACAAGAGCACAAGAGCAGGGGGAGGGAGAAGCAGACACCCACTGACCAGGCAGCCCAACGCAGGGCTCAATCCCAGGACAATGGGATCATGAACTGAACCGAAGGCAGATGCTTAATGCTCAGATACTCAGATGACTGAGCCACCGAGGTATCCCTCAACTCTTTGTTTTTAAGTCTTTTCTTAAATTTTCATTTTTACATTTATATTTTATAGAGAGTGTTCATTTTTGGCTCCCTTTCATTGTATTCAATTTTATTTTTGTATGTATATAAGTTTTTCTTTCTTTACAATTTTCAGATTTAGTGTCTCCTAACAAACAGACCAAAATATACCCAGGACCACGTGAATCACACTGTTTTGTCCACCTGTGAGATTATATTCTCTTTTATCCTGTTTGTTGTTGTTGTTGTTGTTTCTGACCTCTTCAGAGTATTCTAGTGTGTATTTTGCTGGAGTCGTGGTTGATATTTTTGATTTTGTTCTCTCATTCATCTATTCCTCCCTGGACAAAATGACTAGAAGGAGAAATTCACAACAACAAAAAAGAAACAAAACAAAAAAACAAAAAAAAGAAACAAACAAACAAAAAAGAAACAGAGGTAATATTCTCTGCCATAGATCTAATCAATATGGATATAAGTAAAATGTCAGATGTAGAATTCAGAAAATGATTATAAAGTTACTAGCTGGGCTTGAAAAAAGCATAAAAGACACTAGAGAATCCCTTAGTGCAGAAATAAAATCTAATCAGGCCAAAACTAAAAATGTTTTAACTGAGATGCAATCTAAATTGAATGCTCTAACAGCTAGGGTAAATGAGGCCGAAGAGAGAGTAAGTGACATAGAAGACAAGTTGATGGAAAGGAAGGAAGCTGAGGAAAAAGAGAAAAACTAATGGACCATGAGGGGAGGCTTAGAGAAATCAGTGATACGATAAAGCAAAACAATATTAGAATTATTGGGGTCCCAGAAGAAAAAGAAAGAGAGGGACAGAAGGTATATTTGAGCAAATTTTAGCTGAGAACTTTCATAGTCTGGGGAAGGAAACAGACATTCAAGCCCAGGATGCACAAAGAACCCCCCCTCAAAATCAATAAAAATAGATCAACACCACAACATATAATAGTGAAGCTTGAAAATTTCAGAGATAAAGAGAAAATCCTGAAAGAATCTCAAGGCAAGAGCTCCTTAACCTCAAGGGTAGAAACATTAGGCTGGCAACAGACTTGTCAGGCCAGAAAGGGCTGGCATGATATATTCAGGGTACTAAATGAGAAAAACATGCAGCCAAGAATACTTTATCCAGCAAGGCCATCATTCAGAAAGTAAGGAGAGATAAAGAGTTCCTAGGACAAACAGAAACTAAAAGAATTTGTGATCACTAAACCAGTCCTGAAAGAAATATTAAAGGGGATCCTGTAAGCAAAGAGAGAGCCCAAAAATAACATAAGCCAGAAAGAAACAGAGACGATCTACATAAACAGGGACTTTATAGATAATACATGGCAATAAATTCATATCTTTCAATAGTTACTCTGAATGTAAATGGGCTAAATATTCCAATCAAAAGACACAGGGTATTAGATTGTATTAAAAAACAAGACCAATCCATATGCTGTCTGCAAGAGACTCATTTAAAACCAAACACAGATTGAAAGTGAGGGGGAGAACCATTTATTGTGTTAATGGACCTCAAAAGAAAACTGGGGTAGCAATCCTCATATCAGACAAATTAGATTTTAAACCAAAGACTGTATTAAGAGATGAGGAAGGACACTATATCATACTTAAACGGTCTATCCAACAAGATGATCTAGCAATTATAAATATTTATGCCCCTAACTTGGGAGCAGCCAATTATATCAACCAATTAATAATCAAATTAAAGAAACACATTTATAATAATACAATAATAGTAAGGGACTTCAACACCCCACTCACAGCAATGGACAGATCATCTAAGCAGAAGATCAATAAGAAACAATTGAATGACACACTGGACCAGATGGACCTCACAGATATATACAGAACGTTCCATCCTAAAGCAACAGAATACACATTCTTCTCATGTGCACACGGAACATTCTCCAGAATAGATCACATATTGGGTCACAAATCAGGTCTCAACTGGTACCAAAAGACTGGCATCATTCCCTGTGTATTTTCAGAACACAATGTTTTGAAACTTCAACTCAATCACAAGAGGAAAGTCGGAAAGAACTCAAATACATGGAGGCTAAAGAGCATCCTACTAAAGAATGAGTGGGTCAGCCAGAAATTAAAGAAGAATTTTAAAAAATCATGGAAACAAATTAAAATGAAAACACAACTGTTCAAAACCCTTGGGATGCAGCAAAGGTGGTCCTAAGAGGGAAGTACATAGAAATAGAAACCTTTCTCAAGAAACTAGAAAATTCTCAAATACACAAGCTAACTTTACACTTAAAGGAGCTGGAGAAAGAACAGCAAATAAAGCCTAAACTGAGCAGAAGAGAAATAATAAAGATAAGAGCAGAAATCAATGAAATAGAAACCAAAAGAACAGCAGAACAGATCAGCGAAACTAGAAGCTCGTTCTTTGAAAGAATTAGTAAGATTGATAGACCCTTAGCCAGACTTACAAAAAGGAAAGAGAAAGGCCCCAAATTAATAAAATCTTGAATGAAAGAGGAGAGATCACGATCAACACCCTGAAAATACAAACAATTGTAAGAACATATTATGAGCAACTATATGCCAAAAAATTAGGCTATCTGGAAGAAATGGATGCATCCCTGGAAACTTACAAACTACCAAAACTGAAATAGGAAGAAATAGAAAACCTGGACAGACCCATAACCAGCAAGGAAATTGAAGGAGTAATAAAAAATCTCCCAAAAAACAGGAGTCCAGGGTTAGGTGACTTCCCAGGGGAATTCTACCAAACATTTAAAGAGGAAATCATACCTATTGTTCTGAAGCTGTTTCAAAAAATAGAAATGGAAGGAAAACTTCCAAATCCTTCCTATGAGGCCAGCATTACTTTGATCCCAAAACCCAGACAAGGACCCCACCAAAAAGGAGAATTATAGATGAATATCCCTGATGAACATGGAAGCCAAAATTATCACCAAGATACTAACCAATAGGATCCAAGTGTACATTAAAATGATTATTCATCATGACCAAGTGAGATTTATTCCTGTGCTTCAAGGGTTGTTCAACATTCACAAATCAATCAATGTGATCACATCACAATCACAGTAATAAAAGAAAGGACAAGAACCATATGATCCTCTCAATAGATGCAGAAAAAGCATTTGACAAAATACAACATCTTTCTTGATTAAAACTCTCCACATTGTAGGGCTAGAGGGTCCATACCTCAATATCATAAAAGCCATCTACGAAAAGCCAACAACAAGTATCATTCTCAAGTTTTTCCCCTAAGGTCAAGAACATGACAGCAATGTCCACTGTTACCAGTCTTGTTCAACATAGTATTAGAAGTTCTAGCCTCAGCAATCAGACAACAAAAAGAAATAAAAGGCATTCAAATTGGCAAAGAAGAAGTCAAACTCTCACTCTTTGCAAATGACATGATACTTTATGTGGAAAACCCAAAAGATTCCACCCCAAAATTGCTAGAACTCATACAGGAATTCAGCAACATGGCAGGTTATAAAATCAATGCACAGAAATCATTTGCATTTCTGTACACTAACAATGAGACAGAAGAAAGAGAAATTAAAGAATCAATCCCATTTACTATTGCCCCCAAAACCATAAGATACCTAGGAATAAACCTAAGCAAAGAGGTAAAGGATCTATACTCTAAAAATTACAGAACATTTGTGAAAGAAATTGAGGAAGACACAAAGAAATGGAAAAACTTTCCATGCTCATGGGTTGGAAGAATAAATATTGTTAAAAGTCTATGCTACCCAGAGCAATCTACACATTCAATGCAATTCCTATCAAAATACCATCAACATTTTACACAGAGCTGGAACTAATAATCCTAAAATTTGTATGGAACCAGAAAAGACCCTGAATAGCCAGAGGAATGTTGGAAAAGAAAACCAAAGCTGGTGGCATCACAATGACAGACCTCAAGCTTTATTACAAAGCTGTAATCATCAAGACAGTATGGTACTGGCAGAAAAACAGACACATAGATCAATGGAACAGAATAGAGAACCAGAAATGGACCCTTGGTTAACTAATTTTTGACAAAGCAGGAAAGAATATCTAATGGAAAAAAAGTCTTTTCAACAAATGGCGTTGGGAAAATTGTACTACCAAATGCGATTTTGTTTTGTTCTGTTTTTGCCATCATGTGTGTTTTATTTTCATTAATCATACAGATAATTTGCTATAATATCCCAGGGCAAACTGGAGAATTTGGCAGTCCTATTGTGGGGGGGGAGGGTTGCTGAGACCTGCAGTCTGGTGGCATTGGCAGGGAGTGCCCGGATTCACAGTGTAGCTTGTTGCTTGTGTCCATCTTGCAGGTGGCTCTTCTTTGTCCACATCACACCTGGAGTGTCTCGAAGATGACAGGGTGGTTCTTAGGAATCCTCTAGGTTCTTAGGAAGTTTCACTCTGCTTCTTCTGCCCAGTGGTCTCTTTGGTTGGCAGGGTGTTCTTCTTCTTTGTCTCCATTTTCTTCAGCTTGGCCTTATTGAAGCTGGCTATTCCCCCCATGTCTGGCTTGTCTGCCATTTTCTTAAAATGATACGTGAAGTATCCAAGATCTATAAAAACTTACCTAACTCAACACCCAAAAATCTAACAATCCAGTCAAGAAATGGGCAGAAGACATGAACGGACATTTCTCCAAAGAAGTCATACAAATGGCCAACAGACATGAAAAAATGCTCTACATAACTTGGCAGCAATGAAATACAAATCAAAAACACAATGAGATACACCTCACAGCAGTCAGAATGGCTAAAATTTACTAGACAGGAAAAAACAAATTTGGGGGAGGATGTGGAGAAAAGGGAACCCTCTTACACTGTTGGTGGGAATGTAAGCTGTTATAGTTACTATGGAAAACAGTATGGAGTTTCCTCAAGAAGTTAAAAATAGAGCTATACTATGACCCAGCAATCGCACTACTAGGTATTTACCCCCAAAATACAAATCTAATGATCCAAAAGGGCACATGCACCCCAATGTTTATAGCAGCAATGTCCACAATAGCCAAACTATGGAAAGACCCGAGATGTCCATCAACAAATGAATGGATAAAGAAGAGTGGTGTGTGTGTGTGTGTGTGTGTGTGTGTATTCCATGGAATAGAATATTACTCAGTCATCAGAAAGGATGAATACTTATTTACATTGACATGGATGGAACTGGAGGGTATTATGCTGAGTGAAATAAATCAATGAGAGAAAGACAATTATCATTTGGTTTCATTCATATGTGGAATATAAGAAATAGCACAAAGGATCATAGGGGAAGGGAGGGAAAACTGAATGGGAAGTCATCAGAGAGGGAGGCAAACCATGAGAGACCCTTAACTGTAGGAAACAAACTGAGGGTTGCTAGAGTGGAGGCGGGTCAAGAAATGGGGTAATTGGGTGATGGGCATTAATGTGGGCACATGATGTGATGAGCACTGGGTGTTATACACAACTGATAAATTATTGAATTCTGCATCTGAAATTAATGATGTACTATATATTGGCTAATTGAATTTAAATTAGAAAAAGTTTATTCAATTGCATGGAAGATATATAAATATTTCTAATGTATACATGATGGTGTCTAGGAATCATGAAGCTCATTTTACTTCCTCATTGTGCAGTGTGTGGCAATGAAGTATTAGAATTAATCTTTCAAAACCATGAATGGCTGTCAGTAGTTTTTCATGTACATTGGGCATTTAGCTGTTTTGTATAAAGTTAATGAAGATAATGTCAAAGAACAAATGATTTAAGTAGAATTTCAACACCTGGGACAAGCTTAAATAGTGTAAATTGAATAAACTTCCCAAGAGGGATAAAATAAACATTAAATTACTATCTAGCTAGTTGCCAGTCAGATTTCTTCTCTGCTATGACTTTATCAGGTGTATATTTTGTAGAGGAAAGATTTCTTTTTATTTATTTTATAAGATTTTTATTAAAAACATATTTAGATACTGAATTGTCCTATTTAATCATACCATAAAAAAAAAATTTCTTGTTATTTTGGGTTCTAGGACCCAATTCCAATATGCATTTATTTAAGGGGGAATTTACTTACAAGTAACAACAAGTAATCCTGGTACACCAGCTGACTGTCCTACAGTTCAGCTCAATCTGATACTATCCACCCAAAGTTTTCATCAGATTCCTCAGGTTAAGAGCTGTCTCATAAGGCTCCCTGCCATCCCACTTTAAAGCTAGTCACAAACCCTAGTCACTACCTATGCTGCTGACAGAATGGTTACAAATTGGAAGTTACAACAACCCATTCCAATTTAGGATGTCAATTGCAAGTCCAGGCTATAACCCATACTTCTAACCTACTGGCTATTAATTTGAGGTTCCCATGACTCCCCTACAGTGGCTCACAGAACTCAGAGAAACACTTTACTTATTAAGTTATTGATTTATCATAAAAGGGTATAACCTAGGAATAGCCACATAGAAGACATGCAAAGGTCAAGGTACATGGGAAGGGGCACAGAACTTCCACACTCTCTCCAGCATGCCACTTTCCCCAAATCTCCATGTGTTCACCAAATAGAAATCTCTTTGAACCCTGTCCTTTTGGGGTTTTATGGAGGCTTTATCACAAAGGGATTAGTGATTAAGTCATTGGCCATTGGTGATTGAACTCAATCTCAAGCCCTTATCCTCTCCCTGGAGGCTGAAGAATGGAACTGAAAATTCTAACCCATAATCACATGGTCGGCTCCACTAGCAGCCAGCCAGTCACCACCCTTAGGCTTTCCCAGAGTTACCTCATTAGAATAATAAAAGGGTGGCTCAATTGGTTAAACCTCTGATTCTTGGTTTCAGCTTAGGTCATGATCTATCAGTTAGGAGATTGAGCCCCGCATCAGGTTCTACACTCAGCACAGATTATGCTTGAGATTCTCTTTCTCCCTCTCCCTCTGCCCCTCTGCCCCACCTCTCTCTCTTTCTCTCTCTCTCTCTAAAATAAATAAATAAATCTTTAAAAAGAAGAATAATAAAAGATACTTTATCACTCTCCACACTTAGGAAATTCCAAGGGATTTTAGAGCTGTGAGCCAGGTATTGCATAGGAAGACCAAATAGATACCATCTGAATGACCAAATATATATTTTTCTTATAAATCACAATATCAAACTTACAGTATTGTTGTTTGCAGTATATGAAACTATAATTAATTGAGGACTACTCAGCTAAGATTGACTTTCTTTGGGTGAAACTATAATCTCAGTAAACATTTATTTTTTCTCCTTTATACCATCTATGTATATTTATACTGAAAATCTTATTTCAGAGAATTGTGGCTTAAAATGGAGCTTATGGATTGTCCCATTCCTTTTGTTTATAATTTGATTTTAATTAAATATAATACTTTGGAACAAGAACTTCATAAACAGATGTTTACCTTATCTTAATGAAGTGATGGTTTTGTATAAATTTAATATTTCTGAAAGGATTCAGCTAAAATACATTAGTATAAAAATCTTCTATTTTTCTAAAGAGTGGTCACTCTACAGTAATAAACCTTACCACATTTCCCACCAATGCCCTTTGTGTGAACTCATTTTTAGAGGATGATAGACCCTCACCTTTCCTGTGGGATTGCTAATACTATCAAGAAGAACAAAGAACATTTACCCTCTAATCTCCTGGGACTACTGCTCTCTCCTTGTTTCATCAAAGGTGAGGACTAGTCAGTAGGCACATTTAATCATAAGCCATATCAAGAATATCTTCTGGGTCCAAAGTGAACCTAAAATCTCACTCTAAGCTCTTAAATAGGTTACTGAACTTTACTGGTTGCTAAAGAGTTATGCCATTGCTTCTTATTGTGGGAGTATTGAGCCATAAAACAATATAGCTTTAAAATAGAATATTATAGAAAAAAAGGCTGCTTTTTCAAAACTGAATATAAAAATAAATCAATTATACATTTTAAAGCCATCTTATATTATTCACTACAGCATAATATTCACATGCACTGTGTCATTTAGTTACCATAATAGCCAATGAGGAAGATAAAAATATTGAGACTACAGCCAGTTTAAAAGTTGTTTCCAACTTTTTGAAGAGAGTGAATGATCCAAGATTTAAAGCCAGGTCAGTTAATCTGGACAACCATTAACTTTCTACTCTGTAGCATGGCCTTCTTAATTCATAGATTTGTTAATAAATCTGAAAGTAATTCAGAAAGTGAATTAACACAACTAATTGAACACATTACTTTAAAATTTTAATTTTGGTATGTTCAAGAGTAATTATAAATAAGGAGTCTAATTGTTTCAGCATGATTTTTTTGTCACCTTGGATTTACCTTAATAAAAATAGTGTGCCCTGTGGTTAATTTTGGTACAAAATACTCCTCAGACTATACCTAGTTGTACAGTTTTTTAAAGTCATTTAAAAGAATTCAAAGAGAGAAACTAGAATACAATTCCACATACACACACAAAAATCAAGAATGGCTAATAAAAACAAAATAAATTTTAAGGTAAAAAGTCCAAGAAAACAAAAAATGAGATTTTTATACTAAAAAAATAAATGATAAAATATAAAAATAAATATTTATGGAATTTATGATTTGAATAAATTAGCTGAGAATGTACATGTGTCAAATTTTTCTCTGTTTTGTATTTAGCATTTTGTATACATGGATTATGTGTTCATTGTAAAATTCATGACCTGATTTTTCCCCTTGTTACAACTATTTAAAAAAAAACTGAGCAAAAACATTCTAAGTTCTATTACATATCTTGATATTAACACATTTTGATTTCTTGATTTATTTTTATTTTCTTTTAACCTGATTATGCAACCAATTGTTTATCTAGTTGTTGCTCTTAAATTATTATTCAAATATCTTCTATAAGATTGTTTATGAAATCTGCAGATTTTCTTTTCCCCCAATTCATTGTGTGTATATGGCTGTATGTGTAATTTTTATAAACACCTTCCTCCCGGTTTGTTTAATTTTTTTTTTATTTTTCTGACTTATTTAAGTTCTTTAGTTTGTTAAAATGATTTAAGTGCTTAACTCATTTAAGTCCCCAAATCGAGACTCTGCAGAGCTAAGTGTAAGCCAGTCCATGATGAATACATGGTCTTATAATTCTTTGTTTCCATTTACTTTCACCCACATTCTTTTTTTAAAATATTTTTTCTCTTATTTGAGAGAGAGAGAAAGATCATGAGCAGGGGGGAAGGATAGAGGGAGAAGCAGACTCTGCGGTGAGCAGGGAACCCAATGCAGGACTCCATCCCGGGACCCTGGGATCATGACCTGAGCCAAAGGCGGACGCTTAACCAACTGAGCCACCCAGGTGCCTTTTTGCCCACATTTTCCAAGATTTCTTTGCATGTCTACATATTTCTGCCTGAATTCTTTGATGTGTTTATCTTCCTTTTTTTTCAATATTCCCTTACTGTTCTTATACCTTTCTTTCCTTTACAGTGCTAGATGATTTTTCAACTTATGCTGTGGTTTTTTTGTTCTATTGTATATTGTAAGTAACATCTAAATTCAAAAATGC